CCCCCCCCCCCCCCCCCTGGCCCTGTGTCATTCCAGAGCTGCAGCAGTTCTATAACAACCAGAGCCGGCTTCCTGACAGCAGGGTGGTGCTGTGCTTTGGGGAAGAGTTTCCGGATATGGCCCCCTTGCGCTCCAAACTCATTCTTGTGCAGGTAAGATGGGCAGCTGGGGGCCTGTGTCCAAGTCTCCCAGCCCTCACACCAGAATCGAGTTCATACTTGGGGGAGAAGATGCAGCAAGAACTGGGGTACTCCCTGTGTGCAGAGGCGGGCCTGGGTGAGACCTTCACATGCAGGGGATGTGGATTCTTACCTTTTCTGAACCATCTTATGTCTGGGACTGTCAAATCTGTGTGTGTGGTGTTTCCTTTTTCTTTTTTTTGTTTGGTTTACTTTTTAAAATCAGAGCCTCTTCTCTGGAAGGATTCCACCTGTTTAGTGGCCTTAAGGTCTACATGACAGATTAGGGCTCTGCAAGCCCTTATTTTACTATAGTCAAAGGAATGAATCTCTAATGGTGGAATTCCAGGCCCAGGTGGCCAGGTTGGGACAGTATTGGGAGCGTATATATAGCAGTCCTTGTAGGAACAGTGCCTGAACTTTCTTCATATCTGCCTATTCTGGGCTCATTGATTTGGGACTTGCATGCAGCTTCTGGAATGATAGCTTTGGATGGAGGGAATCAGAAAATCTGAGCAGAGTCAGACAGTCCCCTCCCTCACTTGTCAGCTCATCTCTGACTCTGTGCACGATCCCTCTAGATTGAGCAGCTCTACGTCCGGCAGCTGGTGGAAGAAGCGGGGAAGAACTGCGGAGGGGCCGGCTCCCTGATACAGGCTCCCGAGGAGCCCCCAGCAGACCAGGTCTTCCGGATGTTTCCAGATATTTGTGCGTCACACCAGAGACCCTTTTTCAGAGAAAACCAACAGATTACCGTTTAAGAGTCTCTTGGGCACCCCACCCGCTGCATCTCGCATATCACCACTATAGTTACTGTTGTAATTATTAAAGGATGGATTTCTCTGGCTGGGGGTGGGGCGTCTGGCTTTGCTCTTAATTTGGTAAGGACATTCTCTGAGGACTGACGTTTAAAAAAAGCCATACCACAGTTCCACTGGGTTCAGGTATAAACGTTGGAAGCTTACACCAAGTGGTCTGTATGCTATAACTATAACCTGGGATGAAAAATTTTTATTTTCCCTAATTATTATTAGTTTCTATGATTCTTTCTTCATTTTGGGTTGATATTTCCAAAGACTTATTTAATATTGCTAGCAGATAGCTGCTTCGAGTAAAGGAATTTGGAGTTTAAAATCAACTTGTGAGAACAACACTTTTTTTGTCTTTACCTTTTGTTAGAGTTGTAGATTTATGATTTTATATGCTTAATTCTATGTGAAGTCTCTTTTTACTTTTAAGCATTTTTAACAAGCTTTAAAAATATTTAGATACAAGCCTCCTTTTAATGAAAGCAAAACTCTTGCCATGCTAGAAGAACGTATGTTCTTCCTAGAATTCAGTGCCAGGAAATCCTGTCCATAACCAGGTGAACTGGTGTGTTTTTATCTTCAGACAATGACAACTTTTCCTTTGACGCTTTATTGCCAGGAAGCTTAGAGCTAAATTTATTTTTCCATTTATATCATTAAACCACCCCAGATACCACTCTCTTTTCTTCTTTCTCAATGGTTTTGACCTGTTTTAAAAATATTTGTACTTTTAATTGTCTTATTTTATATGTCTTATTGTAAACTGCTTTGAATCTTTATTTTTTCTTTTAAGTGGGGAGGATATAAAAGTTAAAAAGCAATTACAGATTGCACGAGCTTTTGATTGTGGCTTCCATTCAGACAACCCATTCGTCAGCTAGTGGTGCCTGGTGTGGAGGCACAGTTACAACGGGCCGGGGACTGTGGGAGGAACACGTTAGTGTCCCACCACGCCACTGTTCAGAGAGTCAAGGGTGACCTGTGCAGGGAGCCTGCCTCTCCCCCCGGTACTTGAGGTACAATGGCCCCCCTGCACCGAGTTCTCCTCTTTAATAAATAGTAGCACGGTGGAATTCCAATGGAGAAGTCCTAGTTTAGCCCTGGAAGAACTCACTGTATTTACTAGCAAATAAGATACATTTCCTACCCCAAAATGTGTCAAACTGTTTACCCTAAATTCTGATACTGATCAAATGCCAGGTGCAGAAGACTTATAATAATGGCTTAGCTTAATGGCCAAGGGCCTTCCAGTGTTCAGTATCATGTATCCCGGAAACCACTTTAACATCGCTTCCAATGTATGCATGATTAAAAAGTACTTGAACTTTTTTTTCTTAAGAAAATGCTATATTTCGTTAGAGCAGGGACCTCTTCTATGTCTGTGTGTCCCGTGTACTACACCTGACCTGGCAGAGACTGGACCCCACGGTGTGTGGTGGACCCTCCAAAGGCTCCACTTCTTGCCAAGGCATGAGCCAGTGTGGCGTCTGTTGATTTGGCCAAGTCAATTCCACAGTCGGTGTAGACACCAGGAAGATTTGGGGGTGTGGGAGGGTTTGCTTGCTTCCCTTCCACTCTCGCCTAGGTGGGCAGAAGACAAATCCTTTCTCTATTTTCTCTCCTTTATCACCCAGCCGGAGTCACCACCTTCCCTCACTCAATCTGCCAGGGAAAGGACAGGAAGAGGCTTACCTGCCAACCCTCATTATGAGAAGTGGGGAAGGTGTTGGGGTTTGGGAGACAAGCTTAGTTTAGCCACCCTGGTGGCCTTGTAACTGTAAGAGTCACTGACTTAAAATCTGAAAAGCTTGGTTAGAGTGTGGTCTTGTAACACCAAGGTCAAGGGTTCGGTTCCCCGTACTGTCCAGCTGCCAAAATCAAATCAAATCAAATCTGAAAAGCCAAAGAATACCTGTTGACTTTTCCCGTTGCTCCTTCTGTGAAGGTAAGGTACTGTGGCATGTAGGAAGACAATAATCGGAGGTCCTTTAAGTGTGTACGAGTTCACATTGCCCTCTCCCCTTTGGCCAGCAAAGTGAGCATTATATTTTTAAGGATAACAGACCTGTTTGCTGAAGTGTGTGTTAAGATAACAACAGGCTTTACTCGCCTGCTCAGATGAATGTTAGAGCACATGTCTTTAATATGCTGAATGAATATTTATTTTTGTATCCATTTAAAAGGTATGTTGATCTCTTTTATTCTTTATTAAAATAAAATTCTCTTTTTTAAAGCTGATGTGTGCTCTTCTTTTTATTCACTATCAAATATTTTATAATTCTCATTGGGTTTAGGTTCTTTAAAGGGGGAATTAAAAGTGAATAGTGCACTGTGATTTTAAGGATTTAAAATAAAATAATAGCAAAAGGGTTTGGAGATTTGGATCATGTACAGAATTTCCTGGACAATGTGGTGAGAGCATGCTATGTTTTTATTAAAAACCGAGGGCCTGTCTGGGTTTCTTGAGCTGACTAATGAGTACGCAGAGGGGTGTGGAGAAAGTCAGAGGTCGCCACTGGCGGCGCTATCCTGGAGCTACTGGGAGTGATCTGCAGGACGGCCAGCCTGGTTGGGCCACCACATGTGTGGGGGTGTGTGTATGCCTCCACTTACACACATGCTCATTGTGCTGGGCCCTAGGGATAAAGCAGGGACATGAGGACACAAGAGATCCAGTCAGGCAATCACAGAGATTGTTTCCAGTCTACTGGGACAGTCCCATTGAACAACCCAGGACAACCTCCATCAGTTGCAGGCAGGCACAGACCCTGGCCAACCCAGGTGGAAAAATGTTACCCAACACTCCATCTGCAAGGCCATACGTATTATCTCTCTCCTCCATACTCATATAAACCTGGTGAGACTGGGCCTGTTCTTATTCGCAGCATACAGATGAGGAAACTGAGGCACAGGCCCATGCTTGGCCGACTGTGGGCCGTGTGTATCCTGGGAGGGCAGCTTCGTAGGGAGGCTTTGTGACAAGATCTTGCCGTGGTCCTTGAGCTTTTGAGTTTGCTAACAGTGCGGGGAAAAGGACAGCAGCTGGGCCAATTGCTGACTTTCTTAGACATCTTTGCAGTGAGTCATGTTAATTCCTGCACGTTGCAAGTAGGACTTTTGTTTATAAGCAAACTCTTTCTTCTCTGTCCTGTGGGTTCAGGACGCAGTGTGGAAACTTGCATTATAGTTGATGTCTTCCCAGAGTTCAATACCCTTGTGCAGACAGCTGACAAGCCCTTCCTACTCAGCTTCTTGCAGCAACCTCGGAGGGAGAGGAGGGGAGCGACGTGTGTGCTCATTTGCAGAGGAGGGTATTTGGGGACAGGGTGCTTCAGTAATAACTGGGGGTTCTAGAAACTGTTGTTAGGGCTCTAGTTGTGAGCCTACATCTGGGATGTTGAGCCTCCTCTGGACAGTGGGCTGCTGGCACTGAAGAGAAGTTTGTAGGAACAGCTGAGGAGACATTCTGAAAAACAAAACACCTTCACTCTTTGTATTTTAAAAACATTTTAAGAAATCAAGGTATTTCAACAATCCCTTTCTGAGTGATTGCCACTTAGTTCACTAACTTTTGCAAAGTTGATCTGGGATGCAAAAATTTTGTTTTCCCTTGTAATGTCCAGCTGGCTGAGGATGATGACCCCTGGCTCAAGCATCTAGGGTCTGCTGGGCCCTAGGAATCCTGGGAAAATCTCATGGAAGGAATTGACTGGGCAGCCCTCCCTGGGTGCTACAGGGACACTTTCTTCCCATCGAGAAGCAGCTGTGGGAAGCAGGAAGAAATTACTCGTGTGAATGATTCAGACCCTCCATAGTAGAAAGTTTTGCAACCTGATTACTCAGAAATTTTAGAAATTCTTTCTAAGGAATGACCTATAATTAATGACTGTAATTTTAACAACTTAGGGGGTTGAGAGTGAGAGAGGGTGCTTTCTCAATGGAAAATCTGGCTGCTTTTACTAAAAGTGGGGAGGAGAGAGCAGACGTCCCGACCCACAGGGCACACATGTTCTCACTCTTTCTCTTGGACATGGGCACTGTTCATTGGCATATTAAAAGTTCTCTCTCTTGGCAATACACTCACGTAATCCAGCGTTTCCCGAACATATTTGATCTGATGTTACGCCTTGCAGTGTGTCTATGGGTGAGCAGTGCCTACGAGAGCTCAGGCTTCCCCAGGATCCAACTCGAACATCTGAGGAGTCGAGAGGGCCTGTGTCCCATTCCTTTCCTGTTGTCATCGGGGTGGAGTCTGCCAGGGATGAGGATGGCTCAGTCACCTCTCTCTGTGTAACAAAATACTCCTGAGCTTAGTGGTACAAAAACATTTTGTTTTGCTCATGGATTTTGCAGATTTAAGTTTAGACAGGGCACAGCCGTGTTGGCTTTTCTCTGCTCCACAATGTCTGGGACCTCAGCTGAGGGTGAGTTGAAGACCTGGGGTGGGTCATCTGGAGGCTTTCTTATTCACATATCCAGTGCCTGGGCCGGCATGACGTGAAGGCTGGACGCAGCTGGGTCTGCCACCTGGAATGTCCATGCGTGGGCTCTGCCTGGAGTGGTGTTTCATCAAATACAGTGCCTCAGGGCAGTCTGGTGACAGAGGGGAAGCTGCGTGGCTGTTTACGACCCAGCCTCATTGTCATTGAGCATCACTCTGACACACACTCTGTTGGCCAAACAAGCCCACTCAGATTTGAGGGAAGGGGCAGAGACCACCACCCTTTCTCGATGAAGGAGGGTCAAGGAATTTGCAGCCACGTTTTGAAACTGCCCCAGGAGCCCAGGAGCATTTTCTCCTTTGCTACCCCTGCCACCTCCCCACCCCCCTTAAAAAAAACTTTTCTGCCTTCTCCCTGGGCATCCTGGCTCCTTTCTGTCCCTATTCCTTGAGCCCCTGTTCCTTTTCCTTGCTGCATCTCAGGGCTGTGACAGTGGACTCTTATCTCCTTCCTGGGAGTGTCCATCTCCTCTCAGAGCACGACTCTGATGTGTTTTCTGCCTTCTCCCTGGGCATCCTGGCTCCTTTCTGTCCCTATTCCTTGAGCCCCTGTTCTTTTTCCTTGCTGCATCTCAGGGCTGTGACAGTGGACTCTTATCTCCTTCCTGGGAGTGTCCATCTCCTCTCAGAGCACGACTCTGATGTTCCACTGTGTTCAATCGACCTCCTCCCCAGCAGGGGTGAGGGTGCGGCCACAGGGAGCTTTGCAGTTAGGGTCGACGGGCTGTGGCGAGAGCCACATGTGGAGTTTTCCTGCTTCCTTTCAACCTTCCATGTGTTGTCCCTGGGCATGCAGGGCCACCTTTCCTCCCCACGTGCCCAGCTCTACTGCTCTGTCAAGGCTTCTTGGGGACAGTGAGGGAAATAGCCAAAGCACACACGTGGGGATGGCTGTTATGGGGCCAGGACCGTCCAGGTTGAACTCCTAGCCCCATCACGTGTAGCTGGGTGGAGGGAGCCAGGTTATCAAAGCTCCGTGTCTCCGAGTCCCCGTCTGTGGGCTCGTGATGAGGATTTAGCGAGTGGCACAGCTGGGCAACGTAGAAGGGGGCCGGGTGGAGGTGCAGCGGTTTACAAACCTAAGCTGTCATCATTGAGAAGCCGGGTGGGATCCTGGTTTGGATTCCCCCAGAAGCAGAGCTGGAAACAAGGATTCAAGTGTCTGCAGTGTATGTGGGAGGCGATCTGGGCCTCTGGTGGGGGAGGGACATGGGGCCCATAAGGAGTGTGCCGCTCCAGGACGTGATCCGGCGGAGCTACCCCCAGGGTAGTCCTCCCCGCTTCCAGCAGGTGTTGGTCAGGGGCGCTCCTGGGCAGGTG